AGTGAAAAAAGCAGAAATAATTACAGCTCCTGTTGATATCCAAAACTGTCAGGAACTCAGTTTACAATAAGTCCAGACACTCCTCTTCCTGCTAGGGTCACTATTTAACCAGTGGTTAAATGAAAACTCAGTTGATTAGGATGGGAAATCTTGGCAATGGCGAGGGCTATTTCCCCTTCTACAATCCTCATCAAATAAGGGGCATACAACAAATTGCTTATCTCCAATCTGCAATTCTCCCCTCCACCCATCTGTAAATTTGAATTAATTAATAAATGCCCTTATGTTTTCAAGGTCATGGAAAATGAAATGCACTCAGCAAAATGGATGCACTGAAAGTGAAGGGTGTTTGTGGGTGGGTTATTTTATGTAAATGGAAAATCTGTGAGGCAGCAGTTCCTTCATCTGTGCCATGAGTGCTAAAGTTAGAAAACTTAAAAGTAAAGGGAATGCAAATAAATTATGCTTTGCATAAATGTGACCTTCCCTAGAAAAGTCTAAGACTTTAGGGAACAGAGTCTGAAAACACACAACGAGGCCAAAGACATCACTAAGACAGGGGTCTTCATGCAAATTCAGTCACGCTGTCTTTTGTTTGTCCCCGCTGACTGTGGACAAGCTCTGCTTTCTATCGACACTGGCTGTTCACAAAAGACCTGGCACAGGGCTCTTCCACTTGTCGCACAACAGCCACAGAGACCTTGTGTAGATAGACATTTTTGACATCTATATCCACCTACCTATTTAAAGCTTCTGACTCAATTTGAAACACTCCAGCAAATCCCATGGCGGTGACAATTAAGATATGTAAACCACAGAACTACACAGCTACTCTTTTTGTCACATAACTAAGTGTGCACATCACCATACACGGCTACATGAGCTTCCTTGTAAATCTCAAGCATCCTCACAAATAATATGATTTAGGGAGAAAGATGAAGGTGTCATTTAGGTATACAACACTTGATGAGTTAGAAATGTGACCATTAGATAAACAGAAACAGGACATGAACTTACGGAATCCATTTCTGGAGACACACTAAAACTGAGCAACTTCTGATAAAAAAAAGGATAATTGAAGACTTCATTGGAGAAAACATTTTGACTTTGGAAAAGGAGACAGATCAGCTGCTTAAAATTCCAGAAGACTGAGTTGGAAAGACCCTTTCATTCTTGTGGTGCTTAAAGGGTGGATTCTCAATCCAATCTTAATCTGGATATGGCCACTGAAGAGAAAAGAGAGACTATGAGGTATAACTGCAAATTACAATTTGGGCCTGATGCCTAATACGAGTCATCAGACTTCACTCCTACCTTACAACCATACTTGAAGTACGTTCAGTCAGAAATGCACTGATTTGGTTTCTGTTTTTCACTTAAAAATCTAAAGCTCGTTGCAAGTGGTAGATTTTGGCGAGGAAAAACAGTATAAAACCAATGAGTAAAATTCAGCAACTTCAGTTCACAACAGCTGGGGAATGAGGTCTCCTAATAGGAGTGTGAACGTCTGACACTCCTCAGGACACCACGTGGTCCTCGGCTTCAAATTTCTGCCTAAGAAAACTCTAAGTTCAGCTCCCTCAATGCTGACATATGTCGACAGAACTGGATGAAGATGTTTTTGTGATAGGTACCGAACTGCTATGCAATAATCAAATACCTAGATGCTGTAATTTCATTAGCACTGAGTGATCTGGGCAGTGAGGTTGCCGACTGCCAGATCACATACAGATGAAACTAGGTACAACTACGTGAAATGTCGATTAATGGAATAAACCTGTCAGTTACTGAGGAAGTCTCACAACTACTAACAAAGCATCTAAAGCATAAGGTAATGCTGCTTATTATAAAAATCAAAGCAATAAATCAAGTATTCTGAATAGAACATTTTCACTAGCCCATTATTTATGCCACTGTGAGTAATCCTATTTATTCCTTTAACACAGCTGGGTAGAAGCAGATGGTAAGTTGTCAGTACCACAGGGAAACCTCCAGAATTTCTAAAATGTACCTTTTGTTGCTTATTTTATCCATTTCATGCATCTGGTAGCCTCTATTTTGTTAATGCATTATTTGTCCAATTTGCATTAAGTTACTCCAGTTCATCCTTTTCACTTGTGGCAAATCTACACTCACATCTGACAATAAAGTTATGGTAATATGATTTTATTATTGCTATTATCACCAACATCATTATTACAAACCAATAATGTAGATGGCTCAGCGAAATACCTAGTACCAAAACCAATTGCCATACATATAGTCTATATAATCCAGACTAGTAAATTACTGCATCATATTGCTTTACTCCCAAACAATAACAAATTCCTTCTCATCTTCTCTACAGAAAAAACAATTATTAGCACATTATCAAATCCTTATTGTGCAGGAACAGAACAGATCTCTCCTCCTGCAAGGATATCTCTGCTTCTGGCAGAGTTTCTCTAACTTATTAACAGGACTATGTACTTTTGCAGTGAGAGATTTAACTTTTACAACTGTAGTCTGTGAATTCTCAAGCAAATCTGAAGAACACCACAATGATAAACCCTCAGCACGTACGTGGGATTTGCTATCTCATCTCTGATGAAAGACGTTTTAATCTGTCAGGCTCACCTACCAGTCTCCTTCTTCTACATTCTATTCTGTAATTTTAAAAAATTGGCAACCTCTGTAGCCTTTTACAAAAAAACATTTTAACCATCTTTCTACATGTCTGCTCTCTGAATATACAACCAATCATGCAATTCCCCAAAGAAATCAGAATCAGCGAGAGCTTGTGTATCAGTCTTAGTGAAATGCTTATTTCTCCTGGTACAAACCTTACTTTATACACACGTAAAAGTAACGCATTCATGTCCAAAAACTAAAAGAAAACTAGTAGACCCTAGTCAAGCAAAACCAATGATCAGAAAATGAAAGGCTGCTAGAATCACGTTTAAGGTTCAGCATCCAAAGTAAACATGGCTGTGACCAATACCTCTATATGAGAGTAGCATGAGATACTGCCCGGTCACGGTCGAGTTGCACTGGCTGAGCTTCAGGTCTTGTTAAACTGCAGGTACTGTATACGCTACTGAGATGCCCTAACAAAGCTGTGAAGGAAAGAATTTGTAGTCTTCTGCACACTGTGACTGGCTTTATATCCCCCTAATAACTCCTTCTTTTCATGTGGCATTTCAATAAGACATTATCTTTAAAGGATTTCACAGGAGCATCTGATGCTTTTGGTTTACTTCTGCCTCTTTTGAAACCACATTTTGAAATTTTTGTCTTGGTAAAAGATTGAGCTTTTGTTTTCCCCCTACAGAAGCCTTTAGCACGTCTGCCAGAAATCACTCTTGGAAACTATACACTAGAAGACGCTGCAAACAAACCGTTTTCCACAGAACTTCAGCTAAATTAGGGAAAAATAGATTCAATATATGTACTCATACTCTCTTTCTCTGACAATAATATTTAGCTGCTTCTGTAGTTTCCAAGAAAGTCCCAAGTCTACAGGCCAATTCTGAATGTTTGACAAGCGCAATTTGAGAAATCCTCCTGGGGAAGCAGTGATTAGAGAAGGTAACTGGCAGCTAGGAGGCCCACGCTGTATTCCCTGTTTCATTACTGATTTTTCTGGATGACCTTGTCAAGTCATTTAATGCCTTTCTGCCTGTGTTTCCCTATCTGCAAAACATTCAGATAAACACCTTCCTTTTGAAAGCACTGTAAAATTGTTTATTATGGAGATAGCTCCTCAGATGTTAATCTGGCTCTCGGGGTGTAACATCAGATGAAAAACACAATGGCGACATGACATAAATGTCAATCTAATATTTTCTAACAGATTAAACCATCGGAGTTTAAGCAATCGGTTAACCTTGTACCTGAAGGTTTTATTTCCGATGAGGCGGTAGTTACTCATTCCATTAAAATGGAATAAGGTTTAAAACCTTCTTCCTATCAGCCAAGCCAGCAACGTAAGTGCAAACCGTAACGGTAACAAAAAGCAAGAAATTGGCATAAACTTCTCTGTCCTGCTTAATTTAAGATGTGTGGCTATTTAGCCAAGCTTTGTCTTGGTCAAGTATGTGCTGCTGGCAGTAGGCAATGCTCAAAACTGGGATTAAAGCTACTGGCACCGTACCCTCAAGCACACAGATGGTTTAGCAGTGGCTAGCAGTCACCGGCACCCTTAAGCCCATCCAGGTCAGTGGACTCTCAAGCACATCTTCCTAAACGGTACCTGGCTCTTCCATGCCCCCTCAGTGACCTTGGCTGGCTAATGCACATGTTTTTATTGTTAATGGCCCAAGATAAGTACTATAAATGGAACGCCTAAGTGCAGTCTTATTATGAGTCATTTCACCATCACTCTATTTCTAGAGAAAGTGTAGTATTACGTAATTCTAGGAGCAACCTATTAACAGAGAGGAAGCCAAATGGAAAGGGAGAGGGGTGCAATTTCAATTTATTAATCCCGCTGCACAAACCTGGGCTGGCTAACAGCATGCAACACCCACTGAAAAGAGAACTGCTTTTTAACATTTAACACAGATCCCACTTCTGGTACCACAAAAGCACTCTTGGGAGCTCTGTGAAGTGAGCACAGCACCTTACACCAAGAAATGAAAAGGCAACTTTGAGAGTTTAGGATGGCTTTTCTACAAGGACTTAGACATATTTCACCTGAAGAGAGATGCATGCTGCCATGGTGGTCGGGTTCCACAGGCATTTCACTGTACGCAACAACAGCCCCGGGGCGGCTACACCACCGCCTTCCTTCGCGCCGCGGAGCCCTCACAGCACTCCCTGACCCCCCACAAAATGGCGGCTGCGCGTGCCCCGGGCTCCGCTCTTCTCTCCCCGCCACAGCGGCACACCCGGAGGCTGCCCTCTGATTGGTGAACAAGTCCCCCCACGCGCTCTCTCTTCCCTCCTATTGGCTCCTGCTTCCCGCCCGACTCCTGTTGGCCCGCCGCCGCCGGCGCCACGCTCCTCCCCTCAGTGCAGCGATGGCGGTGGCGGGCGGTGGTCGCAGCTCCGAGGCGGGCCAGCGCTCTGCGCCGGGAGGCGCCGGCGACACCTCCCTCCTCGGCAGCGCCACGACGTGGCCCTTGAAGCGCTACGGCCGCTTCCTACCACCGACGGACAGCGACGATGAAGGGCAAAGCACCTCCTCCTGGAAGGTGACGGGCGGCGCGGGGGGGCTGGCTGCTTGGTTCGGCTGTAACTGGGGTCTAGGAGGCCGCTGTGTAGCAAACAGTAATAAGTGAGGCCTTTGCAGGTATCTTTTTGCAAGTCCAGAGCTAATGGAGGAATCGGGAGAGATTTTGCTTCATGAATTAATGTAAACACATCAATGATCTGATAGTTAGGGACACTTTTTATTTTATTCCTTCATCAGCAGTGACCCGTGGTATTAAAAACTACAGATGAAGTTGGAAGAGTCTAGATGGTTGTTTAAAGTAGTTAAATCTGTATATGGAGTTATAATTAGTAAAAAATTATTAAGTGTGCCTCCTGTCTTGTGGGAGTGGAGGGCAAGTTGCATTACTGAGAGGTCAATTATACACCTGACATCTAGCACCGACCTTTGAAACCTCTTACTTTGCACTAGAAGTGAAAAATGTAGATTCTGTGCTCGCAGGGCTAGATTTTTATTTTGTCTGTCTTTTTAAAGGTTTTTGAATCAAGTGAAGAATCAGGCCATCTTATCCTTACCATTGTTGTATCTGGCCATTTTTTTATTTCCCAAGGGCGAACAGTACTGGTAAGTTTTTCTCATGTATAAAGAATGTTTCTCCTTTCATGTTACCATCTGTATTAACTTCATTTCCCTTCTCAACTTCATGGTCTCTCCCACGGAAAGGAAACTGCCGATTTTATTTTGCTCATGGAAATTCTCATGTCCTGCTTTTTCTCTGTGTTTATCAGAATAATACTAAATGCATTATTTCATACTGAGGAACAGTGTTTCTTTTGGGGCTCTAGAAATCTAGATTAAGATGTAATACTCAGTGTTGCTCATGGCAAAAGATATGTGGGTATTTTCACAACTCTTCTAACTAAGAAAACAGAGAAAATACACTGTTAAGAAATAGATAAAAATATAACTATAATTTCCTATTAGGTTTGCTATATGATCCACCTATTTTCTTGCCAATGACCTGTTAGTATTTTGGTTTTGATAATTTGTTTTATCAAAGGGTATGTTTTTTTTCTACATTGGGTGATGTGATCTAACATACAGCTTGCACTAATGGAGGCAAAATAGCAACTTCAAAGTTGTATCAACTGATTTTCCTGTAGCCTGTAGTTAAGCATGACCAGCTACTAAACTGTAATGACTTCACAGTGACACCAAAGAGGTTAACAGAAACACTCCCATCTAGGAGTTGGTTTGATGCTCATGACAGAGAAAGCCTGTGCTGGAAAGTGGAATCGAGTGTGTTCAGTGCATATCGCTGATACTCAGTGATGATAACCAGTAGAAATTGACTGATAAATATATTAGAAAGGTATTGCAAGCCACTAGAAGATGCTGCAGTATTAAGATAACAAAGACTTTTTTTTTTTTTTTAAAATACAGAATATATAAGAGGATGTTGTAGCTTTAAATATGTATAAGCTTATAAATTAGTTCTTGCTGTGCCTCTTAGCAGGTCTTAAACTTACAGAAATTATAGGAGGAGAACCAAGGATACTCTTGATTTTTTTTTTGGCCTGTGAGTGTGTTAAGAATATTGAATAGATAATGAGTTAGCAGAGAGCTGTCAGTCTGGATGTCCCTTGTACAAACCATGGTGTTTGGCTTGCATATTTTGTGAGGACAAGTTGAAGGTTCTTGGACAAGGTAAAAATGGAACATGGAAAGTATTTCAGGAGTTGCGCTGAATAAGAAAAAGGAATGGAGTAATTGAAAGTCCAGATAGGCAAAAGAAGCACAACTGAAATGAGACTTGCTGCCATCTCTGGCCAAATTCTCCTGGGGATGAATCAGTGCAGAATGCACCTCTCCTGGGGCTGGTCCTGTTTTCAGTATCCTGATGAGATGGCTGTAAGTGTTTAGTAGACTCATATTCCTTTATAGAATGTCCTTCAAATAACCATATAAAGGCTAGCTGAAAGTAAGTTTTAATGACTAACTAAAGAGCAAAAAAAAAAAAAAAAAGGCACAGACAAACTAGCTCTTCAAAGACTGTCTGGCAAAGACTGAATCTGGCAAGTAACAATGGGCAGATAAAGTGTGCTGTCATAAGGGATGAGTGCGGGAAGTATGAGAAAAGCTTTATAAAGACTTGGCTGAGAAAAGCACTTTCTTGCAGCTCTTGGGTTTAGTGGCTAGTGAAGCTTTCAGGCAGCTGCCTTCCTTGAAGTGCCAGATGAGGAATTTCTGAGGTCTGTCAGGTCTGATTCAGCTTCTAAGAGACACTAAGATACTGCAGTAATGATCACAGCCTAATAGTGCGGAATAGAGGTGGAAGAGACGTGCTTGGTAAACGTGACTGATACCTAACACTGAGAATTTAAAAGGAAAAAAAAAAAGTTGCTCTTTTTTTTTTTTTCAAAAAACAAAACCCATTTATTTTGGCAATGCTTCTATACCAACCTTAAGGCCAATACCAACAACATTTTATTAAGATTTAGAGAAAAGATACACAAAGCTGGTGTCATGCATTTTAAAACCCGATTGTCAATTCTTTTGGGTAGACTTCTTTGAGTTCATGTAATTGGGATCATGATGCAGGTGTGTTCTGTGCATACAGAACTAACCTACTGTGCAATGTATTGGTACAATGTGCCTTATTATTTATATTTCTCAGAGATCGGAACAGTTGCAGTCCTCCCTCTGCTTCTCTTGAGCATATTTGACTCGCTGAAAAACCTAGCAAATACCCAATCTGCTAGTCCTCAACATGGGCAGGCATCTTCAGAACTGTGTTAGATTTCCTGTTTACAAGGGATTTGGTCCAGCACTTCTGGCTTAGCTTTACTGCGGAGGCTTATTCCTTAAACTCATGCCCTCCCAGAAATGCATCCCTTTTCCCAACACTATGCAAGACTGATATGGAGTGATAAAATTCTTCTTCCCGGAACAATCCCAATCTACAGGTATTTTTTCAGTCTTTGGAGAACGGTCTGTGGAATCTCTTTAGTAAAGCAGCCACTATCATCAAACAGAAAGGTGATGCAGAGAGATTGTGCTGAAAAAAGACAGCGCAGGCAGTGATGCTGTTGGCCAGTAGCTGATAACAGCATTGATACCAAAGTAAGTATGACTGTTACTGGATCTCTGAATGGCTTTCTTCAAGTAGCAGCCAGGGACGCTAGAAACTCAGTATCATTGTCCAAGGACAGTTTGCACCACCATCTTTGGAGAGAAGTCTTCTAAGACCTGTTGACAACAGGATCTGGACAGCAGGAGCAGCTTAAATGAGCCTACTGCTCAAAGCTAGCCGGAACTGCACAGGCCACTGGTGAAATTTTGCCAACTCTATCGAGGTGCCATATAACAAAAAAAAGTTGCAATACTCTGCAGTCTTATGTTACTGCTGTAGAAATAATCGGACTGTGGAAGTGGTTAATCTCACTGGTTCTATCTCCCTCTAGTCTCCAGCTCTCAGGAGTTGTCAGAAACCTGTCACAATATTTAAACAGGCTTTGCACCACTAAGTACATATAGTTCTTTCGAATCTGTCACAGACCAAATCCTCTCACTGGGGTTCCATTATAATGGACATTTTGTCACAGAGGATAAATGCACAACTTTCTGCTCCAGAGGGAATGTATCAAGTTTGATAGAATGCTGCAATTGTTGGAATAATTCAGCTTGTGTTTTTACTATGTATGCTGATTTCTACTTGCTGGCCTGGGCTACTGAGTATTTCCTTTTTATCGCCAAGGCATTCAACACGTACGTGCTGCCTTACTTGCATTGAAAGTCTCTCTGATGTACTTACGGAACTGTTTGTTGCTTCATAGTTGCATCCTTTGAGTTGCTGATGTCTAGTCTTTTGATCTGTCTTCTAATCCCTACATTTCAGACCTTTTGATGTACTACAGCCTCCTGGTTTTGAGAGAACAGGGAACAATTATCGTACCTTTATATCTTGTACCTCTGCATAGGAACACGAGAGGCACGAGATCTGTGTTGCAGGGACACCGTTTCCTTCTCAACTTGAATAACTATATTGTATTTTTATAACATTTCTGTGGATTAATAATAATGGGGTTTTTTTCTACTCTAACAGTAATCAAAGAATGAACTGAACTGCTAACTAAATTCAAGAATTCATTCAGTGGTGAATGTTTTTAGCTCTTTTTTTTTCACTACAGCAGCAATGATAGAGCAGAAATCCTCTGTATTATGCAGATATTACTGTGGGTGGATGCTTTTTTAAACAGTCCAGCAAAAAATCAAAGTCACATACTGAAAAGTGTGAACTTCCAGACTTGGTCTGCTTTCTGTTTCACATAGAACTTTCCTTTTTTCGTTCTTCGGCAGTGAACGGTGGTGTTTGCCTGAACTCGGTGCTGATCAGCTCCATTTGCACAGAACTGAGGTGAAAAGGGTTGTGTAGAAATGGAAATCTTTATTTCATCAATGGTTGGATTAACACGATCCATTCTAGGAAGAATATTCAAGTGTTCCTGACTTGCTATAAAAATATTTTCTCTATGATGGATGTATTTATGTATTCTCTTATTCTTTTTTCAATTACTTTCTTAAAGCAGAAGTGATAAGAAACCTTTTCTTTTCCTTAAAGAATGCTAGCTATTTAGAGCCAAGTGAGACTATGACTCTTCTGTGGTCTGTTTCTAAGAACAACATTTATATAAATAGCAATAAATAGCAGTAAAATATTTACATATCCTAACAACTAATTTTTTTTTAATACATACAAAAGACTACAGAACTGCTTTCATGAGCAATAAAATAGTAGACTATTTAATGAATTCCCCTCTAGCGGTCTTTTCACTAGTGGAAGTTGAAATACCATTTTCTTCTCCCAAAGGAATGCTACAATTGATGCACCGAGTCTCAGCACTTCTAAACCATGTAAACCTTCACACCTCAGCACATCTAAACCTTCTAAAAGGCATAGTGAATACCTTGTCCTTCGTACACTGCTATATGGTGAGGTGCCATAGGTTTGAAGCAATTGCTTACAGTATCTGAGAATGCTCCAGAACCGGTCATTAAAGTACTTCCATGCTACTACAACAAATAATTGTTGACATGTTCAGTGTTTCCATCCATTGCTCAAAGAAAACAAATTATTTATTTTAATGGGTAAACTTTTGGGGAATGGGTAGGTGTTCAGGATCACTTTAAACATTCTTTAATGACACTGCCAGATACATACTTAAAAATATCTTAAGAAGGAGCCAACTGCTTTCCTTTTAAAACACAATGTCCTTCTTGTGATCAGCCAAATGGAATGAAGAGGAGGTAAATGGAACTTCAGAGCATGGAACATAAAAATCCCTAATGTGTAATGCAAATCAAAGGGTGTTTTGGTTTGGGTTTTTGTTTGTTGTTTTTTTTTAAACAAAGTTCATCATTTGGAATCAAATTACATATTTTTAGGACCTGGTTTTGCTCAGTGTTGCCTAACAGACTGCATATTTTACGGTAGAAAAATCTCATTCTTGCATACTGTAGATAATGGAATTTTAACAGGAATATCTTAACAGCATCTCTGTCAATTTCTGGCCATACTCTCAAGATACATCATGTTCTGTTTACCACAACTCTTATTTCCTCTG